GAATCCTGCATTCAGGGTTCTTCCCACATTACTTTGTTTTTTGCTCTGCCTTAAACTTGAAATCATAGGTTGTAAACAACCTAATCATTGCAATAATAAACGTATGTGCTGGGCTCTATATAAAATTTTTTTATGTAGAGATAAGGCCTCACTAAATTGCTCAGGCTTGGCTCAAACTTGTAATCTTCCTGCCTCAGCCCTTCCACAGAGCTAAATTACAGGTGCCCACCACCACGCATGGTAATTGTTAACTTTTGTAATTACTGTAATTTATTTAATGAATTCTTTATTCTTAGACATTTGGGGTTTTCGGATTTTCAAATTATAAATAAGATGCAGTGAACACTATTGCTTCGTCTGTACATAAGCCTTCCCGCTTCCCCATAATCATGTTTCCCCATGAATTTATCAAACCAATGGCTATGCAAAAGTGTGCAAGTGTTTCGTGTTTACTGTCAACCTGTTCTTCAGGATATGTGTATTGATTGATAATTAACTTGATGGCCTCTTGATGAAAGCTGGTTATGAAATCAGGAAACTGTGAGTCAGGATTGCTCAGGGTCTGCTGTGGGTGGATGAATCTGAATACAGGCTCTGGACATTAGCTGGGTAGTGGAATATTGTAAAGTCCATTCATTAGCAAATAAATTTTGAGAACTTTATCGTTCCTCTACTTTTAGTTTTAAATTTTGTTGACCCCTTTCATCCATTATCTAGAAGCAAATGTCCAGGTGAGATACATAACCTAGTTTTAAACTTCTCTTCCTCCGACCAACATCAGTGAGCAGCTACTGAGTGCTACTGAACAGGAATCTTCCCCAGAGCCAAAGGTAGCGATCACTGGAAGAGGAGCGTTGGGTCTGGGCAGGACAGTCTGGAAGGGTCAGAAAATGGTGAGAACATGGGATCATAATCCATTACAGAGTTCCCTGCTCTTATTACTTACAGGAATTGACTCACTCTTTATTAAATATTGGAGCACTTAAAGAAAATAAAATCCCCCAATACAAAGATCCCCTTATAATTTTAAAATACCACATTTCAGAAATTTAGAAAACAGAATAGAACTAAATCTATAACCCAAAGAGAGGTAAGACTTCCCAGATAACAAGGTTTATAAAATACAAGTGAAAAAAGTCAGTAATATGCTTTTAGAAAGGTATTTATTAAGCAACTACTTAGTTCAAAAGAAGGAAAAGCAATGCCAAATTTCAGGTACATGACAGCTACAGTAAACAAACAAAAAAAATTTATCAAATCTTATAAGAATAAAAAAATCAAAATATCATAACATTTCTGATTTTTGGCAACATAAATCAACCAAGCACAACATTAAGCTCTGTACAGAATACACCTTACATCAGTGAAGCAATACAATGTTTGGGTACATATACAGGATAAATTGTTTTCTACTATACTAAACTGCCACAAGTAAAAAATATAAATGGTGATGTCGTTAGGGCTAGAGATATGTTTTGGATTTGCGATGTTAAAACCTAAGTAAATAACTCAAACGGTTCTTCCCCAATACTTTCTCAGTGGCTGGGGGAAGAGGAAGTCTTTTGGAAAGAACATTTGTAAACATTTTTGGCAGAACTTTCTGAGCATTTATATGATGCATGCTTGGGGAATGTGTTAGTATTTTGCCAGTTTTGTGGGTAATTGGCAGTGTTTAAGCAAAGGTATATACAACAGTAAGCAAAAACTAATAATTGGAATTCCAATAAATAGCCAAACAATTAGTGGAGGGGGGGGTCATAACCATGGTAGCTTTTTTTCCTGAAGTGCAATAATTCTCGTGGCCAAAATAGCTAAGCTTCTACCATCCTGCAAGTGTCTGACTTCAAAAGGAAAAACAAAAACAAATCTCATCCAAATCTTCCTCCTCATACACTTTAAACTTAGACTATTGGCAGGAATTGACATGACTGAATTCATTTAATCTGAATAAATAAGTCACATTAGCTTACAGCAGGGAGCCTCTGTCACCAGCATATTTTCTACTGATTTGACCAGGAGGTTATTTTCTGAGTTAAAAAAAAAATTATTATCAATTCACTGAATTAACATTTGTCACTGATGACAGAAGTAAATTGTGACTATAGCCATTCTGACCAGTGTTGCAATTTAAATTGAAAAAAAAATAATAAGAGGAAACTCATTAGCTAAGGAACAGTGTCAAACATAATTTATCTTTTAATGACATTTTTCAGTTCTAGTATGTACAAGAGATGCAGTGCTTCTGAAAACAGAATGCTCTATTTTATTCACTTAGACATTGTGACTAGAAATTTTTATGTATGTAAATATGTATGTCACATTTTAAAGATATACACACTGTTGCTTAAAAGACAAAAGAGTGTTTTCAGGCACCAGTCTTGCAAAAAAAAATCTCACAGCTTTGTTTTTTAATATGAAATTCAAGTATGTGGATAAATGAAAAAGAAAAAATTAGCTAAAACCGTTAATGTTAAACTAAGACTTGCAAATTGTAATGATTTCAGGGTTTTGATAAAAGCATTTGCATGAAAAAAATTGGAAGTTTAAGTCAAATCTTATCCCAACAACCTTCATTGCAATAAAAAATTGACTATAAAATGGTATTTAAGATGTAGCATAAGAAGTGTTTCTAAATTTCATTACTAAAAAGCCTCCCATTTTAGGTAACCCATAGAATAAATGTTTTCTTTAATTATTAGAAAATTCTTGCTCAGGCAACAGTTACTTCCTGGAAAACAAAAACAAAAACAAAAAAACAGTCCAACCCTTGATAATGAGACAGTATAAGGTGGTATAAGGGGACAGAAAGTGGTATGTAACCAGGAAAATGGAAACACAGACAGATTTTTTAAAAGAAACTTACTTTCCCTACATTCGTGAGAATGCTCTTAAGTGTGCCTACAAATTTTACTGGCTCACATAAGAACGGTCCAGTTCAAATTCATTTGGAGACAAACACACAACGTTTTAGGATGAACAGGCCTTTGAAACACTGGGGACCCATTTCATACCATTCCAACTAGAGACGTTTACCTCATAATTTAAAGATATTTATCAGTTAACTACCACAACATAACATTCAAATAATTGGGGGTTCACTAAGGATAAAGAAAATCACTGGCTTATGAAATAGCAGACATATACTAAATTTTTATGAAATGATAAACTTTTAGAAACAATTTCCCTCAGAGTGATTTTTCTCTTTTCCCTGAGTCTTAACAGAAGTTACAAGCAGTGTGTGAAATAACAGTAGTTTGAGAGGGCAAATGTCAAGATCCTTTTCTCTAAATATATCCTTTGAGCTCCCAGACTGACCAGCGAAGGACAATGTTGGCCCTTGCCAAACAAAGTATTCCCTCAAAGTGAGTTTGGCCAAGACTACAGGCACACACCCACAAAAGCGGGAGGATTGGCCAATGAGGAAAATAAGCAGCTCAGTAAAAGCTGGATTTGTTCTCACAGAACTAAATGTATCAGTGTACTTTTAAAAAACATTGATGTACTCCTAAGAATTAACTGAGTAATCAACTTGTTAAAGTTCTGCCTTTAGATCAAATAGACGGTGCAGTTCTAGTGTTCAAATGGATTTCAGAAGTATTTCTCTGGAGAAATAATTCTTTATTGTTTTGATGTTTTTAAAGTAAATTATATCACTTAGTTATTTCACCACGATAATCTTTCTTTTTGGTGGATGAAAGATAATCATGGCAGTCATTTCCTAAAATGGTTTATTTAATTTCATAGTTAAACCAATAAATTTTTGTAGAAACTGCTTATATTGCTTAGTATTGCACAGGATCATAAAGAAATCAATTTTAGGACAGTATATTTAAAGGCAAAGGACTGACTACATAGGGAGAAAAGCCAATGGAAATGGAAATTTTATCTTTCGAACCAGATGTACAATATTTAGTTGAAGCTACCTACTCATTAATTATGATTAAAAGGGAGACTGGGTATTCAAGTAAACATATCTATCAGATAAGCAGTGGAATGTAAACAGCAAAACTAGTTTTCAGACAAGACTTAGCATAGACATTTTGAAATAAATGACTACAAGACTTAAAAGAGTTTTGAATGCCAATAAGCAGTAGCGCTTGTGGGGTTCTAAGTCTTCCACATGGACCTGCCTTAACCATTTGAAACATTTCTGTGTTCATTAAGTGTCCTGTCATAATTATTCTTTTATTCACAAACCAAAGTCTTATAATTGGCTTAAGTATTTTTGTTAAGCCAAATAAGATGGTTTGAGATTGTCTATGGTTTTTATGAAATATCACTTCCTGAATGCTTAATATTGTAATTAGATACCTTTAATTGTGTGTTATACTTTCTATCCCGTTCCATTCAAAGCATGAACAATAGGGCATTTGAGTGTGATTTTTAGAATTCATCATTCAAACTTCTGCAATGGTAATTCACTGTAGAGCAAGGTAAAGTGTATTTATTTTCAAACACTGTGTGTAAGACTGCTGATAATTTTGTGTATACACTAGAGCTGCTCTGTTCAGGACAGTCACTTCTAAACACATTAGGCTGCTGAACTGTGCTTGATACAACTGAAGAACTGAATTTTTAATTAAACTAATTCTAAGTTCAAAAATCTGTTTAACTATGAGGACTTTGAATTTAAATAGTTGAATCCACTCTTAACGAGTTGTTGCATCTACTTTTCTACCCTTAAACTTTATGAAATCTAAATATAGTAAGTATTGCTGATAAAACTTAAAATCCAACTTGACCTCAAGTTGATTGTTCCAAGAATCACCGTGAAAAAAAAGGTCAAGTTCTCGCTCATCACTTCATAGTGATTACTTATGTGCTTTGCATTGTGTCTCTCTTAGGCAGCACTACTCTAGAGCTTTTTAAAAGTTGTTAGGTTTAAAAAATTGTGTTTTGAATTGTTTTATTTCAGTGTTACTCTTTTAGTTAAATAATTCTCGTCAGTGTGGAAAAGCAAATCATATTTATCGTAGACCCACCAAGCGGGCACCTAAATGCCCCCTCTGCAGCTCCCCCTTTCTCTAAATTGCAAAGTCCTCACAAGCACCACCAGCAGAAGGTGAAATCATAGTCGGTGGAAGTGTAGGAAGAGTGTACGAAGGAAGTGAAAGTGCGCAGTTGAATCAAACTGCTCATACCCTACAGGTTCGTTCTTTTCATTCCCCTGGGTGCTTCTAGATCAATGTGTCCCTAATTCCCAAACTGACCTTCAGCTTCTTCCCAAGCTCTGCTGTGTGATGGCTTCCGTTGAGAGTGATCAGCGATGACTGTGTTCAGCAGAAGTTTGGTCATGTGCTCGACTTTGTCCAGGCCCGAGAGCTTTCATCTTTCAGAGTGGAGAGCTTTCTCTGGGAGAAGGATTCAAATCCCAGAAGTTTGAATACTGCCACGCGGTACTTCTTGGACATGATGTTGTACAGGATGGGATTGATGGCAGCACTGAGGTAGAAGAGGACAAATGACACGAGGTTGCAGTACTGGCTGATCTGTGCAATTTCCAGGGAGCCAGGCTCAAAAGATTTGGAAAATAAATATCTTCCTACATGGAAAGGTAGCCAGCAGAGGATGAAAGCAAACACCACTACCGCTAAAAGGACAATGGGCGAAAGATTGTTAGTTCAAGACATGTGCATCCAAAGACATTCTATCTTCAAGACTTAGTTTTAATTACATATGTCATGACCACTGAGAAACTATGTCCTGTTCTTGTCATAGAGCAATAGTAGGCTCACTCTTGCCCATTCCTTCATTTTAACAAAGGCTGAGACTTTCCGAATCAAGTTCTACAATTTTTACTGTTGTTTTATTCCAGTCATTTCTATTTAAGAATTTGTTTACTTATTTTATGATGGAGGTGACACATTGACTCAACTGACAGCCCATTTGTTCACAATAATGCACCATTTTACCTGTGTCAGACACAACATAAAATTGTATGCATTAAAGTTGTATTGTGAATTAGAGTTTCCTGGGGCACTTTATTTTTTATAAATGCAAATTTCTTAGATACAACATAGACTTAGTAAAATTTACAAAAAGAAGATGAGGATATCTTCCTTCTCTCTCTGTCTTTGTCTGTCTCTCCCTGTCTCCCTGGTCTTTTTCTCTTTTTTATTCTTTCTTATTGACTTCTTTTTAATTGACTTCTTTCATATTTCATTCATATTATTTTTGGTTATGGTCTTGCTATGTTGCTCAAGTTGGCCTTGAGCTTTTGGGCTTCAATGATGCTATGACTTTAGCCTCCCAAGCAGCTGGGTCTACAGGTATGTGCCACTATACCATTTTTTAAAATTTTACAGTTGATTAGATATGTAGTTAGGATTAAGAATTGATCAGATGGGTGATTCTATGTCATTTACAATAGATATAAGTAAGATATAAAAGGTCAGTCAACCAATCAACATTGATTATCATCCAGCCAAGGCTTTACATTTTTAAAAGACCTGTATATTTTACAATTAAATTTTTAAAATTCAGACATCAGAGGAAGGGTAATCAAAGTGTTTTAGCCCTGCTACCACACTCCTTTAAATTGTCAAGGAAGAAAAGTAACATTGATGAGGAATTTAATGGGTTTAAAAATTGGAGGAAATCATTAAACTTATCCCCAAAACTAAGCCACTTAGTAACAATTTAACTGCCAAATAACAGTGTGAACTCATATGCAAGAGTTTAGAGTCCCCTGGAGAACCTAAAGCTTTATAGTTTATGAGTCATACTGGAAGAAGCATCAGTCTAGAAAATAAGACCTGACATTCCTTGAATAAACAGCATAACTTTAATATGCAGGATCTAGGAATTAAAAAATTGTAAATATGAAATCATCCTAGAATAACTTCTAAGAGACATTAAATATGTCAATAAGTATAAAATGCTGATCATAATGTTCAAATAATAAAACATACAGATTTTAGCTTTTAAAAAGTGAGTGGAATTAGTATTTTGCTTGCCTAAAAACACATTTGTATTACTTCATTTGTATGAAACATATCCTTAAAGTTGATTTCATGCAATAAATGTTCAGCTCACTTCACTTGTGGCCCTGCCTACAGGTGTTCCTGGCAGTCCATGTGAGGAGGGGTGGTCCTACCAGCTTTCAGGGTCTACTTTTCTTCTGCTGGGGTTCTGCCTGTCTTAGCTTGCCCTGCCTTACCATAGCCTACACCTCATGAAAAGACAGGTAATCACAAAAATAAACAAAAGGAGACCCAGTACTGATTTTCTCTGACATTTCCAGAAAGCCACATAAACAGCAGCTGAATAAATGGAGTTGATACAGTTATCTGAAAAAATCCAAGGCAGAAAACAAATCATAACATCCAAATAAAATGAATGCTATCTAACCAAATCATGTTTTGAGTTACGCTCACCACTGAATACTTTAGCCATCTAACGACCTTGTGCTTGCAAAGCAGGTGGTGGAACCACTGAGCTAAAGCCCCGGCCCAATGACTGTTTTCTTAATGTAACTTTCTATCCACTAACTCAGTTTGAAATAGGAAGCTTATTTTCATCTTTAACACTTAAGAGTCTACAAGGCTTTCATAAACTATCTTAGTGTCAAAGCAAGTTTTGGGGTAATATAAAATTCACCAGAGGGCAAATAACAAAACCATTATGGAGAGGAAGAAGATAGAGGAAGAGACACAGAGAGACTAAAGATATATGAAAGAGTCAACACAAAGCAACAGTGGGGTGGGGGAGAGAACAGAGACATTGATACCCAGAGAAAGAGGAGAGAGACTTAAGAAGAAATAGACTGGAGCTCAGCGGGAAGGGGAAGGGGCCCCTGCTGCAGGCCCCAGGACGCTCCACGACTCACCCAGCATCTTCACGGTTTGCTTGTGGTTCTGGTCCCGGAGTGAGGCGCCCACCGCCGCATCGCCGCGCCTTCTCCGCCACAGCTTCCTGCCGATGAGGCTGTAGAGGACAGTGAGGCAGAAGACCGGCAGGAAGAAGAAGACGCTGGACACCCACACCATGACGGTGAGCAGCCCAGAGCGCACCGCGAACTCCGTGGCGCGGCACTCATTGGTGTCCCGGGGGTCGGTGCCATTCTCGTGTTCCACCCCGACGAGCACGAAGATGGGCCCGGCGCTGCAGAAGGCCACGGCCCAAATGACCAGGATGACCAGCTTCACCCGGCCCTTGGTGACCACCACCTTGGCCCTCAGCGGGAAGCAGATGGCGAAGTAGCGCTCGACGCTCAGCGCGGTGATGGTGAGCACCGTGGCATAGGTGCTGCTCTCGCTGACGAACTGGAAGAGTTTGCAGAGCAGGTCACCAAAGTTCCAGGGACGGTACTGCCAGAGGCGGACGAGGTCGAGGGGCAAGCAAAGGAAGATGAGCAGGTCGGAGAAGGCCATGCTGGACAGGTAGAGGTTGGTGGTCGTGCGCAACTCGCGAAAGCGCGACACCACCAGCATGGTGAGCAGGTTGCCTGCGACGCCCACCACGAACAGGGCCACGCAGGTGGCTGTGACGCCCGCCAGCAGCGGCGCGGGGAAGAGCGGCAGCAGTTCGGAGGCCAGGGAGTCGTTGTTGGCCGGAACGTCCCAGTCTGGGTCCGCCAGCGTGCGGTTGGGCTCCGGCTCCTCGCTGGGCGTCGCGTTCCACATGCTGCGGGCTCCGAGACGCGACCGCGCTGGAAGGCTGGACAGAGCCGATCCCAAGATGTGGTTCCCTAGGGAGCTGCAGAGAGCGAGGAAAGAGCTGCGCGGGCCGGTAGAGGGAAGTAGGGAGAAGAGCCCTGGAGGTGTGATGACGGGGAGAGAGGAGAGAGAGGGAGAGAGAGGGACCCACCGCTCTCTGACGCCGCCCCTTTCAGCCCCCCTCTTCTCCACAGCCCCTTTCCCCAACCTGCCTCCCACCGCAGCTCGCTGGCCTGCCGCTCCCGGAGCAGCCCTGCCTGGCTTCCGCGACGCTGCCCCAGCTGCTACCCCTCGCACTTACGGACGCGTGTCCCCGTGGGCTCCGCACAGGGAGGCGCTGTGACGCTGGCGCGCCAGAAGCTCTCTCCTGAGCTCAGGGCGTCAGTGTGCCCGGGAAGGGCAGGGGGACCCGAGTCCGTCTTCAAGAAGGGGTAGGGCTGGCTGTGAACCTGGTGGAGAGAAAAAGTGAGCGAGGGAGGGAGAGAGGGAAGGAGGGAGGGAGGGAGGGAGGGAGAGAGAGAGAGAGAGAGAGGGAGAGCGTACCTGGGAAGAGCCTCACTCAGCGTGGAATGCACCATTTTGTTCAGAGGAGTAAGTTAGGAGACGTGAGATCCTGCAGTGAGTTGAGTTAGGGGCTAGGAGACCAGAGCAGAATCACCCAAGCAGTTTGGACTTCTGAGTGCCCAGGGGCAAGAAGTATGAATAATCCCGCCTTAAATCCCAGTCCTCCGTAGCTCCTCCACCTTGACCTTGGCCGGGAACGAGCTATAGGGGAGATTTCCTCTGTCTGATGCAAAGGTGGAGTGGGCGGCAGAGATAGGCGGGGAACCTGAGAGAGAAGGTTGTAGCAGACAAAGGGGGAGCAGCAGAAGCTGAGAGGAGGACTCACGTCGGGGATGCTCAGTGTCTCTCCCTCCCTCTCTCTCCCTCTCTCAGTTAAGCTAGATGAGCTATTGAGTTGCTTTGTTCCCTTGGGCAAGCTCTTCACCTTCTGAGTGTACTGAGGACCACTTTGAGTGAATTTCAAGGGTCGGGCATACACTAGGCACTCAGTTAATGAATACTCGCTGCCTTGCTGTTATTAAGGTGCTGCTGAGAGGTAGCAGGGGGTGGAAAGGAGTGGGAGGCAACCCCTGCACTCACAAGGTGACTCCTCTGTCTGCAGCTTGTGACTGATCTACTAGCTAAGACCCAGAGAACTCACAAACCTGGCAGGACCTGTGGGGGGATCAGGACCACGGCCAGCTCCCGGTCCCTGGAGCCCAGCCCCGCGGTGAGCTTCTGTCTCGCTGTCAGTTTCCGGGCTTTCTCTCCTGCCGGACCAAAGCACAGATCCGTGTTTTAACCACACCTTTCCGCGTTCATCCGCCGCTGGTTTAAATAAGAATCCGTTCACGGTGTGTGAGACCTGTGAACCTTCCGGAGTGCGCACGTGACAGACTGCTCACAAGATTGCTTCTACTACCTACATTGTTAATCCTTCACAGTCCATAAGGCTCAAGACTGGGTTTTGTGCACAAATGAAAGAAGATTCCACTCAGTGAGGCACTGCGTGGGACAAGGTTGATAAACACAGTTTACTAATGCATACAGTGTGTAGTGACTTGGCTGCACTGATGTGTTATAGACGTTGGGCCAAACTGACCTTTTAAAAACTTTATGTCAAACCAGTATTTTTAAATATTACAACTAAGTCAAACTACCGATAACAAGATTTAAAAAATTAATAATTGGGCTGGGAATTTAGCTCAGTGGTGACACCATCTGCCTCCCAAGCACAAGGTCCTGAGTTCAATCCCTGGTATCAAAATTGATTTTGCTTATCCCTTGCCTATTACCAATAGGTTTATGTGTATGAACAAAGAGATAATGCTGATGGAAGTTATTGTCTAGGAACAAAAACAGGAAGACATTATGGGAACTAGTTTCAGTATATTCAATGCTGAAGCTCTGGCTGATAGGTGGAAAAGAAAGAAAAGCTACTAAAATATTATTATAATAAAATTTGTACTCCAAGTTTCTCTTAGTTCATTGAAAAGAGGTTTTGTGCTAATATCAATTTCTTCGTAAGAATCTTTTGTCTTATACTCTCAGTAACTACTTTGAAGATGATGTACAGTGTATTAACTATTGTTATTCTCTCATTACACTGTTATGAAGTTTTGTTTTATTTTTCATAAAATTTTAAAAAGAAAACAAAAGTTTCATGTTAACTAAAATTGCCAGCTATTTAACTGCACTCAACTATTTCCTAAAATATTAACAAATTTGCACTGTGTGATAAAGAAGTAGAGATTACTATGAAATTGATCTATTCATTCTTGGTAAATAATAATACTTTAAAATATATAAAATTGTTCTTAATATGTGATGAGGACTAGGAATAACAGATAAGTAAAACTCGGACATGTCAAGTATTTATAAACTTACAGTATGGAGAGAAAAATACAGATACACAAATCATTCTAGTACAGTTTTGATAGGAACATTTAAAGATACCTGTACACTGAGCTCTACTGGAGTAAAGAGAATTGAAGAACTTCATAGAGATTATAGGGCAGGCTTCTCAGAGGAAGTGGCATCTGTGCTGGATATTAAAAACTCTGAGTTCTGTCCCAGGAAGAAAATTTGCTCGACTGTTCAGAAAAAGGACACAGAGCACTTCGGAGTGTGTGTGTGGGGGAACCAATATGTCTTGTGCTCTAAAAGGTGAAAGAGGTATTGCTATGGACTCAGATTTTTACACACTCAATGCCTAATAATAATTTTTTTTTCTTTTTGATACTTACAATGTTCCACATTTGGCCAAAGAGATCCCTTCAAGCTGGCTACAGAGTCCTTTAGACATGACTCGGACTTTGAGAATTCCCTTGTTTTGTGGCACAAAGAAATGCCCAGAACTAGTACATTTCAAATGCTGAACCTAGAGGGAAGCTATTATTTCAAGACTCTCTGGTACCTGAGGGGTTGGAATTTAGAGACCTATATTTGGGCAGCAGGGGGTAGTTGTTATTGCTCCTGGAGCAAATGGATTCGGTGCTTTCTGTGGAAATAGCTAGGATATATATTTGCATTTGATTTGCTTTTTGAAATCATGAGATGATTATGATGACACAGTAGACAAATCAGGCACACGGTGAGCAGATTATAAAATCAATATTATCAATGTGATACCTTAGCAAGAACACAGTTACACAGTATTCCCTCTAGTATGCAAATCCTTAATCTAATCACAGAGAAGCACCAGAAAACTCAAAATGAGGATTAGTTCATTAAAAATTTCCTTAAAATAAGTTAACGTTGAGGGGATGAAGGGAGGGCAGAGGTATGGGGAAACAATGAGAACAAAAACCTGTCATGTAAAGGTACAAGATCCCAGTGGTGAATGTAACTTACTGTATATTTTTAAAGTACCAATAAACTCAGTAAGATTTTGAAAAATAAGTAAATATTGTATAAGAAAAAAAATACTGAGAAAATGTTCCAAACTAAAGGGGACTGAAGACACATGACAACTGATAAAGTCTAAGACTGTATTCTAATCTCCTAGAAGTAAGTTATTGTGTTGACATGATTAGAATATAGATAGTAGATTAGCTATAAATATTGACTCAGTGTTAAGTTTGATAATTGTGTGCTGAAGAATTTATTTTTATTTTTAGAAATACACTCAACCATGATTTATGGAAGTTATCCTCAATTACTTTGGGAAAATAATGTAGGGGATGGGTAGATAGAATAAATGACAAGCAAATGGGGAAATTTTAAAATAAAAGATTAATCTGGAAAAATGGTGAAATGATTTTCCTCTTACTATTGTTGTAACTTTTGTGTAAGTTTGAATTTTCAAATAAAAAGCTTGAGTCATAAATTTATATAAATACTTTCAGTTCAATTTCCATAATTTATTTAACTTCTTTGATTTTGGAATTAAACTGAACATCTTTTTAAAAAAACATAAGCATAATTTTTTATCTTACAATATATACTAAATTATTTCAAATCAACAACATCAGTTTTACCACGAATATTAAAATTGACAATTGAAGTTTGAGATTTTCTTGCATTTCTCTTGGGTTCTCAAAATATGTTCTAGTGTTTGTTCAACTTTTGTGATAAAAAATTACTTGAAATAATACCTCTTATGTGTGACAATATTACCAATTTAGTGTGTGGTTCATTAGTTTGTTATTTTTGTTTAAAGAATTATTTTAGAATTTACTTTTGAATATAAAAAACATTACATTATTTGAAGACCTTTAAAGAATGCATGGTTCTGAATTTAAAACTAAACCAAAGTATATTCAGGAAAATGTTACTCTCTTTTCATATTCCCAAGTACATGTCATTTGAAAATTTTAGCTTCTCAGGAAAGTTGCAGGATAGAAAATCAAAAATGTAAATAAAAAATGTAATATTTTCTTATATGAATAGTTAACTTGCTGAAAAAGAAATCAAGAAAGCAATCCCATCTATAAGATCTAAAAATAAGGAATAAACTTAACCTAGAAAGCCAAAGAACTCTACAATGAAAATTATAAAAAGCTGGTGAAAGAAATTATAGAGGACATACAGAAAATTGAAATACAGGCCATGTTCATGGATTGGAAAAATTAATATCGTAAACATGACCATACTACCCAAAGTGACCAATACACAGTCCATTAGAAAAATGGGCAAAAGTCCACTCTGGCGAACCTGCACAGCACTCAGTAGCCATTCCCATGCCCATGACCGCGCAGCACTCAGGCAGGGATTTTCTGCAGAATCCTTTACCTTCGCAAGTAAATCCCAGTTCTCCCAGGTAAACATTTTAGGACAAACTCTCTGGAGTGGTGGCTGTGATTGTTGCCAATTTGCAATTATCTTAGCACCAAATCTGTTGCTTACTCCCTTCCCCTTCAATTAATTCTATCTGTAGCTTAAAAGGTGAAGTGCCACACTTCTCTCTGCTGCTCTTTTCTTCTTTCGCTTTTGC